ACTGGAATGTATTACAGCCCCACCTAAAAATAAGGAAACTTTGGGAAAAAAAAAACACAAGAGGAAAAAACATACTGAAATGCATAAAAAACGCACTGGAATGCAATCAAAAAAAAAACACGCATTCAGAAATGCATCTGGAATGCATCCAGTACAAGTTAAGGGATGGATGCTGCTCAAACGACCCAGCAGTACCCAGTATTAAGAAATGGCCTCAGCCACCATACTGGCCACAACTCTCTGACGCGCGATTTCGCCAACTGCCCACTCGAGCTTGGGTCATAAGAGGTACTAACACAAAGGTGATAAGCGCATCAGAGGGCGTGGCCAGTACGGTGATGCTGAAGCCATTCCTTAACATTGGACTACCTGGAGTCGATTGAGTAGCGTCCATCCCTTGACTTGTATTGGCTGACACTGGAATCGCTGGGACTCATGCTCCCCTCTTCTCACTTGCCAGTGGGGCGATCCTTTTCCTTCCATCCACAGCTTGGAGTGGCCCCATAAGGTATAATTTTACTATGGAATGCATCCAGACTACATTTCTGTGATATGAAGCGGACCTTCTGCTGGCAGAAAATATTTAAATAGTTAAAGAGAACCCATTAGGGCTGGTTCACTCAAGCAGCGCAGCTGAGTTCTGTTGCATTGTTTCACATCCTGGCTTCTTCACTCAATGTCCATGCAATGAGCAGTAGAGCCCCATGGAAGTCTATGAGGTTCTACTGTACATGGGTGGATACAGGGTGAAAGAAGCCAACAGGGCGGACTGACCATTTGGAAACTCGGGCACTGCCCGAGGGCCCGCGGGGCAGTAGGGGGGCACCATGAGATGCCCCTGGTACCTTTTTCATAGGCTTTTTTTTGAGTTTGGGCAAGGACACAGGGGCCCCATGATCCCCTATTGCCCGGGGGGGGCCCCATGAGTTGTCAGTCCGCCCCTGGAAGCCAATACAAAGAATGAAACCATTGGACCACAGTGGAGGAACTCAGTAAGTATAAAGATTTTGGGAGGTACAAAAGGATAATATGTGGTTTTGAAAGTTTTACTTACTCTTTAAGGGCTGGTTCACGACCATAAAAACACAGTCTAGATGTGTTTCCGCATGCACTTTTTTGATGCTTTTTCATACGTTTCCGGTGCATTTTTTGATGCATTTTTCATGCGCTCACCAGTTAATTTTTTTCTTCTCATTCTTTTTCTTCAATCTAAATAGGGACACGAGCATTCCAGTTTGTTTTCTGTGCATTTTAGTGCGTTCCGGTGCATTTATTATGTGTTTTTGCTGTGTTCCAGTACAGTTCTCTGCAGGAAAAATGCAACATGTTCTACTTTTTTTTGCAACCGGCACGCACTGGAACTGCAAGCACTGATGTGAACTATGACATTGACAACCATATAACCTACCTTCTGTGCGTTTTGGATGCAGAAAAAAAGCAACTGAAACTGGCCCTAAGACAACAGCCGCGTTTCACTACGGTCACCAATCTTTTGGGATGGATTTACTAAAGGCAAATAGATTGTCCTCAGCAAGGACATTTGCTCCAGAGGTTATTAACCACTTGCCCTCCTGAGGATTTACCCCCCTTAATGACCAGGCCTCTTTTTGCTACTCGGCGCTGCAGTAATTCAACTGATAATTGCGCGGTCATGCAATGCTGCACCCAAACGAAATTTACGTCCTTTTTTTCACACAAATAGAGCTTTCTTTTGGTGTAATTTGATCACCTGTGCGCTTTTTTTTTTTTCACGCTATAAACAAAAAAAAGGCCAAAACTTTTGAAGAAAAACAATATTTTTTTACTTTCAGCTATAAAAAATATATAGTAAACTCAAAGTTGGTTCTAAATTTAGGCCAAAATGTATTCTGCTCCATGATTTTGGTAACAAAAATCCCAATAAGTGTATATTGATTACTTTGTGTGAAAGTTATAGCGTCTACAAACTATGGTATAAATACTGCAATTTACGCCATTTTTCTGCTATACAGCGCAGCGCTAGTTTAACGGACACAATTGCGCGGTCATGCAATACGGTACATAAATAAAATTTACATCTTTTTTTTCCCCACAAATTGAGCTTTCTTTCGGTGGTATTTGATCGCCTGTGCGGTTTTTATTTTTTGCGCTATAAAAAAAAAGGCTGACAATTTTGAGGAAAAAAAAACAATATTTTGGACTTTTTGCTAAAAAACATGTCCAGTAAAAAAAAAATGCAAAAATAAAATTTAGTCATAAATTTCTCCCAAAATGCATTCTGCGACATGTCTTTTTGCTAAAAAAAAAAAAAACCCAATACGTGTAAATTAATTGGTTTACGTGAAAGTTATAGTGTTTACAAATGGAGGGAAAGATACTGGGATTTTTAGTTTTTTTTTTTATACTAATAATGGCGGCGATCAGCGAATTTGGGCCGCGATCAGTGACTTATGGCAGCGACCAGCGACTTATGGCGGGACTGCGGCGGACATTCTGACATTGGGGGGTACTGACTTGGGGTCACTGACATCCCCAAAAACACTAATACAGTGATCAGTGCAAAAAAAAAACTGCCACTGTACAATGGCAATGGGGAGGAAGGGGTTAACTTTATTTAGCAGGGAAGGGTTATAGGAGTGAGGGGAGTGTTTTACAAAGAGGCGGGGGGTGTGTACTGGGCGGGACAAGGCTGATCGAGAAAGAGAAACTCTTCTTTCTCAATCAGCTCATCCTCGAGCTGACAGGAAAGTGACAGACAGCACAGCTACTGCAGCTGTGCTGTCTGTCACTGTTTGCCGCTGATCGCCGGAAAACAGCCGATAAGGACCGCTGTGATCCGCAACTCACAGCTGCGGCGGTGATCGGCGGGAGAGATAGGGCGGTGGAGCGCCTCGCGCGCGCAGTACCCCTAGCTGTTTAGAAAACACACGTTTTAAAACGTGGTTTTTGCCTGCGAGTGCCGCCCTGCCGCCGTATATCTACAGTGGCTGGGCGGCAAGTGGTTAAATGAGGTGAAGCTCTGCTGATATCATCTAATCCTGTACAAGCAAAAATGCAATTTTTTTTAAATTTTCCTTGAACATGATTAGGTATTCTTTGCAAAGCTTCATCTCATTTACTAAGCTCTGGAGCAAATTCTCTTGCACAGCGCACGGTCTATCCGTCTATTATTACAGGTACTTATATAGTGCTGTCAATTTATACACATATGTATCGCACCAGTCCCTAACCCTAAAGGAACTTACAATCTAAGGTCTCTAACTTACATTCATACATATACATACTAGGGCCAATTTAGATAGGAGCCGATTAACCTACCAGCATGTCTTTGGAGTGTGGGGAGGAAACCGGAGTACCCAGAGGAAACCCACGCAGGCACAGGGAGAACCTGCAAACTCCAGGCAGGTGGTGCCGTGGTGGTTGGAATTCAAACCGACGACCTGAGTACTGCCAGGTAGAAGTGCTAACCGCTTACACCCCAGTCACATCAAGCTTGACTTTGAAATCGTGCTACTTACAGTGAAGTCGCACAATTTCAAAGTCGGGTGACATGCTGATTTCAGTTGCGATTTGCAAGACATCTTACACAGATATCCATGCAAATCGCACCAAAAGTAGTGCATGTACTACTTTAGAAATCGGTGTGGCTATCCGACCAAGTTGGACCCGCACCGATATGACCGTTCTTATTGCGGACAACAGGATGTGACTTGGCATGTGATTTGCAAGTTGCATGGCATGCAAATTGCATGGCAATTTGCATCCAGTGTGACCCGTGGGACTACGCCAGGGGCATATTTACCAAAAGACAAACAAGCATTTGCCTAGGGCAGCATTTTTTCAGGGGGGCAGCACTGCCCCCCTGGAACTGGAAGAAGGGACACATGAGGCTTGGGGACCTGGTGGGATCTGAGAGAGGCTGCGGGCTGCTTGACTCTCGTTCACATGGTATGTCCAGAAGTGTGAAGGTGAGTGTCTTTCTTTCTCTCTCGCTGGGAGTGGCCAGTGTATGGGGGCGATGGTAGCGGAAGGCTCTCTCAGCTGGGGGGGGGGAGGGGGGGGGCAGGTTTGTTGTTGGTCAATGTCAGGCTCTCTTCAGGGGGGAGAGTGAATCTTGTGTTGCTTAGGGCAGCACAAAACCTAAATACACCACTGTCTGTGGCATCTCGGCATGTATCAGGTTGTTCACTTTTTGTTGTTTTTTGCAAGGGAATTTTCCCTTAGCTTAATGCGGTGAAAATTCACTTTGCAAAGAATGTCCAGTTATGTGCAAGGAAAATATTTTTTTCTTTCCCATGATGGAAGGATGAAGGAAGTCAGCAATGCTTCACCTCATTTACCAAGGTAAGGGAAAATTCCTTGCAAAGTGGACAGCCTATTTTCTGCTAGTATATCATCCCCTTTGCGTCACGCACTTTTAGCCCAGAACATGAAAAGGCCGCTGTTGGTCTCCCAGATCAAAGGTTCCCAGTGAAACATGCTAAAATGTATCCTTAGTACTCTCTTAGTTTTGAAACTCACGCTTGGTTTGTAGATTGAAAAAACATTCAACCAACTTGCACAGAAAAACACACCCTGAAATCACAACCTTCTCCGGGTGCCAGTTCTCTAATGGGATTGTTTCTAGCCAGGTCTTAAAGAACAGCCCTCGGGGGAAGGAGGACACAATGTTTCTGTATAAATGGATTTATAACTTTGTTTAGTCTCATACTGAATAATGATGTGACAAAAACATCCTAAAGAGCATTAGTACTTTCATGGAAACATGTTATTTTTCAAGAACGTTGAGATCATATGGTGTGTGGGTGCAGTTTAAAGTCAAGGTAAATGCAGGGCAAAGCAGGCACTGACTGGTGGCACTGATAGGCAGCACTGACTGGCATAGAGTGGCAGCACTGCTGGGCAGCACTATTGGACACTGGTGGGCAGCACTGATGAAACGGGACTGGTGGGCATTTATGAGGAGGTACTGATGATGCTGCACTGATGGCACTGACTGGCGGCCCTGACAGGCACGAAATGGCAGCATTGCTGGCAGCACTGTCTGGCACTGATGGCAGCACTGCTGGGCACTGATGGCCAGCACTGTTCAGCACTTTTGGGGATGCACTGGTAATCAGAGCACTGATAATCAGTGCCTTGATCAGTGTAGATGTCTCTGACAGTTGCTGATTATCACCAGTACGTTCCCTCACACTGTGACAGCGTGAAGAAAGTACTGCTGAAACTGGCAACTGCATTTACATGGGCATCAGCTGTAATTGGACACAGCTGATCACATGGTAAAAGGCCGCTGTTATTTGCCTTTTACCATGTCATGTGATCAGCTGTGTCCAAAGAACACAGCGATCACAGACAGCACCGGGTGTGCTCCGTTGAGGGTGCGTTCTGGGAGGATGTTATATGACGCCCTCCCAAAACTGAACAACCGCACTGTAGCCGTCGTTCAGCTATAATGTGGTAAGAAAGTGGTTAATGGGGGACCCCCACATGAAAAAGTAAACCTGCATGGGGCCCCCCCTATTTCATACTGTATGTAGCACCTCTCCTAGATAGGTTGCTAGCTAGGTTAGATACATCTAGTTCTTGTGGCTCTCCTGTAATCATTGAGTAACTTGTGAATGCTTTGGGCTGTTCTGGGCTCTGCAGGTTGCAGGTTTGATTGCTTTCCCCCTGTTTTCTGGAAGCTTTCAGAATATAGTGGGTTGGGAGGGTCCAAATAAGTGAACTGAATATTTACATGGTTCCAGCCAATCCCTGGGGGAGGGTGCCCAGAATGTGGAGTGCATAAATAGTTTGAAGCCTGAGGCAGCCAGGTTCTTGTCCAGGAGGAGAAGAGCCAAAACCCCTGAAGCTGAGAAAGGTTTTCACTGTAGATCTGGTCTAGAAGATTCACCAAGGAATCGTCTACCTGAGTACCGACCTGTCTGAAGGATCTGAAGGGGTTGATTTGGTTAACCCCTGGTGCACTATTACTAAGGCTTGACATTGCTTTTTGGTTTTCCAGTGCTGTCCATTACCTGAGCAATTGTTGAAGGGACTCTTCTAAGAAATAGGTGCAGAGAGAAGAGCGTCCTCTTATTACTGTTCAGTGTTCTGGAGAATCCTACAGCTCCCTGAGACCCATTCAGGTTAATCAGCAATATATATTATAAAAAGCAACCTCTAGACTGTTAACAGAGCCTGGGCCTGTTGTGTTGCGCATTTACTGCTATTGCACCAATCTGCACCCAAGAACCTAGGACAAATCAGAGGCCCCTTTAAAGGTGAGCGCTACAAATATCAGGCCCTTCAGAGGACCCTCCAGAAATCCACATTAGGCCTTTATCTAAGCATGCATGGATGGTGGTGGTGGTTGGTAATGGTGGTGGGGGTGGCCCGTACCAGGCTACATGTCCTCAACATGAAGGGGGTTACCTGGCAAAGCACATTGCCCCCATGTTGATCAGGACAAGGGGCTTCTTCTCCACAACCCTTGCTTAGTGGTTGTGGGGGTCTGCGCGTTGGCGTGGGGGGGGCTTATCAGAATCTGGAAGCCACCTTTAACAATCAGGGGGAACCCAGATTCCGATAAGCACCCTTCCAAAATGAATGGGTAAGGGCTAACATAGTACCCCTACCAGGGGCGGACTGACAACTCATGGGGCCCCCGGGCAATAGGGGATCATGGGGCCCCTGTGTCCTTGCCCAAACTCAAAAAAGCCTATGAAAAAGGTACCAGGGGCATCTCATGGGGCCCCCTACTGACCCGGGCCCTCGGGCAGTGCCCGAGTTTCCAAATGGTCAGTCCGTCCCTGACCCCTACTCATTTACAAATGTAAAGTGTAAATAAAGATACAAAACAGACATGTTCTTTGTTAATAGAAAACAGCAAAAAGTCCTATGAGGTACATCCATCGTCAATCATGCTGTTCAACAATGCAGGCCCATAAACATACATTTAGTCCTGTCGCTTCCCCTCCTGTTGAATGATAGGTCCAGCAGAATGACAGCTGATGTAAACAAGGGGGTGGGCTCTCCCAGTGATGTCATTGACCATATATGGACACGATCATTTATGGTCAACGATGACATGAGTAAAATACCTGACAGACATGAAAAAACATGAAATTAAAATATGTGCAAATTCCAGAAAATACTGGAGCTTCTTTGCAGTCTATGTCACATGTAGGGCAGCCCCATTAAAATAAATGGGCTGCCCTATGTGCAAAGTGTGGCAATGCATGAAAACACACATACACGCAGAATGCTACATAGTGTGAATGGGGCTAAAGGCCTGCAGCCATTTCAAAGCCAATTTTTATTTATTTATTAATAATGTTCTTTGAGTGTTTTCTTGATTATGTATTAAGAATGTTTTATTAATTGTTTATACTTATTTTGGTAGGGAAGTAGTTTGTGCAGTCCCTTGTTACATGATATTTAAAACTCAATTGAACTTTTGCGTTAACCACTTTACAACCGCGTTATAGCCGAATGATGGCGACAGCGCAGTTGTCCAGCTCGTCAACATATGACGTCCTCCCAGAACACACACCCCTTACGCCCCCAGTGCTGTCAGTGAACGCTGTGTCCTATGGACATAGCTGATCACGTGACCAGGTTAAAAGGCCAATCACAGCGGTCTTTTACCACGTGATCAGCTGTGTCCAATGATATAGCAGATCACAAAGTAAATACAGTTGCTGGTTATTGGCAGCACATTCCTCACACTGTCGCAACGTGAGGAAAGTACTGCCGATAACCAGCAAATGTCACAGAGCAGATCTGCACTGATCATCAGGGCACTGATGATCAGTGCCACCCAGCAGTGCTGCCCATGAGTGCCCAGCAGTGCTATCCACCAGTGTACAGCAGTGCCACTCATCAATGTCCAGCAGAGCCACACACCAGTGCTGCCCAGCAGTTGCGCACCTCAGTGCCGCCAGTCAATGCTGTCACTCAGTTCCACCCATCAGTCCCCATCAGTGCTGCCTGTCAGTGCCTATCATTGCTGCATATCAGTGCAGCATCATCAGTGCCTCCTCATCAATGCCCACCAGTGCCACCTCATCAGTTTCTACCTCCTCAGTGCAGCCTATCAGTACCCATAAGTGCTGCCTCTCCATGCCACCTAATCAGTGCCCATCATTGCTGCCTATCAGTGCCCAGGAGTGCTGCCTATCAGTGCAGCCTCATCAATGCACATCAGTGAAGGAGAAAAATTACTTGTTTGCAAAATTTTATAGGCCAAAACATAAAACAAAAACAGTGAAAATTAAATACCACCAAAAGAAAGCTCTATTGGTGTAAAAATAATGATAAAAATTCTATATTGGTACAGTGTTGCATGACCGCGCAATTGTCATTCAAAGTGCAACAGCACTGAAAGCTGAAACGGGGTAGAAGTGCCCGGTAGGCAAGTGGTTAAATTGTCCAGACACATTTCAGTTTGTTTTCTTTAGAAAACAGCTGCAGCCTGATTAGAAAAGCCTGTTCCCTGCCAGCAGATGCAGGGAAGGATCCTTGGTCCCTGTGTGGAAGCAGTGGTCCCTCTGCAGAGGTCTGACATACCTCATGTTCAGCTAGAGACAGATCTCTATAATCAATATGAGCTTTGATGATTGCTGACCTAAAGGTCTGATTCATTATGGGGTGTGTTGGACCTCTGCAATATGTCCATTGCTAAAACACAGAGAGCAAGGCTTTTTTTTCTCTGTACTTGCTGGCAGGGGAAAAGCTTTTCTACTTAGGCTGTGGCTGCTTTGGAAAGAAAACATACTGTAAGACATTAAACACATTGTGTTCCCGTACACCTGGAATGTATTTAGCTGATATAAAGTGATTGTAAACATATATATATATAACAAACATGGTATACTTACCTGCTCCGTGAAATGGATTTGCACAGAGCAGCCCCAATCGTCCTCTTCTGATCCCCCTGCCATGTGCCCCTGTAAGCAGGTTGAAATGCTGGTTATTGAGATTGCTGCTGCCCCAGTGGAGATCAAACAGTTAGTCCTCATGCACACTGGACGGTTTTACAGAGGCTGTTTTTGGCTGGTCTGCAGTGTAGGTTGGTATAGCACATTGGGGGTATGAAGCCAATACTGCAGGAGTACTGCGGTGCAGAGTGAAGCAAGTGGTTACCAAGAATAATGGAGATTTACCGAGCAGCCTGTTGGGAAGCGTGTACCTGGGACAGGTGGGTCAGCCTCTCGGGAGTTGTTGTCGGCACTCTCTCCTTGAGTGGTCCATTTCCAATAGCATCGGGAGCAGATTAGCAGAAGTTCTCAGCCTGTGCACAGGTACAGAAAAGAGATAATGCAGAGCACATATGGAGTCTGCACTAGGTGCATTGCAGGACCCCATTCTGTTACTGATATTGAGGTAGTGGAGATATGCTGGATGGATGGAGAGGATATAGGCTCTGCGGGTCCAGTAGAGTAGTGTACAGTATATTTAACATCAAGAGGGTCAACTAGAGTTCAATTGTCTGTTTGAGTAAAGGTACCCCATATGTAAGGCAGTGAACCTATCCAAGGTGCCTAGTGTAGCCCAGAAGAACCAACCCCAGGGTAGGCCTCCTATGTGATCCTAACTTGGCACCCAACAAGGAGGGGAACATGGAGGAAGTGTCACTCACCTATCCTACACCCCCATAGCAGGCCACTTGCTTTAGGGGCACTCATATAGGCTTGGTCATGAGCCGGGATGTGTGCATCGATAGACACACAGAGCACAGCTTGACCCACCACCCCTTGCTCTATGCTCTTCCTTTCTAGGGCCATTGTTACTCAAACTATTTTTTTTTTGGTACCTACATATGTTCATGCTGGTGTATACATTTACATAATTCTCTGCATACCCTGTTGTAGTACTGATGGCCCAGAGAGAGCTGATAAGTCAACAAGCCTTCTCTTCCCCCTCAGGGGCGGACTGACCATTTGGAAACTCGGGCACTGCCCGGGGGGCCCGGGGTCAGTAGGGGGCCCCATGAGATGCCCCAGGTACCTTTTTCATAGGCTTTTTTTGAGTTTGGGCAAGGACACAGGGGCCCCATGATCCCCTATTGCCCGGGGGCCCCATGAGTTGTCAGTCCGCCCCTGTTCCCCCTGTCTTGTTGCAATTAAATAGTTTGAAGCTTACTACTCATGACTGTTCAACCTGTTAAATGTCGCTAATTGATTGTTTCTATTGTACCAGTGTTCTGCTTTTATCCCTGTGGTTTATCTTTTTGAGCCAATCCAATATAGAGGTGTTACTAAAAAGAATTGTGTCTCTTGCACTAATACTACTCTACTATTGAAATATGTCTGAACCCAGAGTGTCAGAGGTGTCAAGAGGCTTGCAAGGTCAGGGCAAACACTGAGGACAAGCATTATCAAGCGTCCCCATCGGGGGGGTAGCACTATAATTATAAGCACCCCAGTCCAGGGGTAAACGGTTAGTCTCAACCCCCCCGACACCCACATCTGCAGGACAGCTATTTCTGTTGAAAAGCAACAGACTTGCTGGCCAGATCACTAGATTAAAATAAAAGAAAGACTAAAAATAAAACTAATGCACCATCACATCTAAGAACTGTTAAGCTGCAATAAAATTTTAGCACGGGCCCCTTTTAGTTGGCTAGGGGGAACTAGACCTCATTTGTTAGCTAGGGCTGGGTAGCAGCCTGGGAGTTATAGCTAGCGGGGGTCATAATTAGCTCAGGGCTGAGAGGCTTTGCAGACCAGCCCCTCTAGAATTTCCCTCTGCTCTTGAACTTTGGAAAAAGGTCTAGAAGCAATGGGTGGATTTGAGCAGTGGCTGGTTTGTACTCTTAGGGGATCCTGGCCAATCCCCATCAGGAGGCTTGGCAAGGGGCTAGGACGACCTTTAAGAGTAACTGAGTCTGCTCAGCAACAGGAGATTTCAGTTGGAAGAGAGAGAAGAATGTGAGGCTGGAGGCAGGAGCTTTTGAGGTGGCCCAGGTGGAGAGGGGCTCACCTGAAGACAGAGGACCTTGGTAGGAGGAAAACTCGGACTTCACCAGTCCTTGAGAGAGGACCACCTGTGAGGCAGGGAAGGAGTGGCCCATCTAGATGAACTAGTAGCAGCCATGGAACCACCAGCAGCACAGAAGGACTGGGTGAGTAGGCCTGCTCCCCCTTGGCCAGATGGAAGAAGGATCACTCTGGGGCAGGGGTGGACTGACAACTCATGGGGCCCCCAGGCAATAGGGGATCATGGGGCCCCTGTGTCCTTGCCCACACTCAAAAAGCCTATGAAAAAGGTACCAGGGGCATCTCATGGGGCCCCCTACTGACCCCGGGCTCTCTGGCAGTGCCCGAGTTTCCAAATGGTTAGTCCACCCCTGTTCTGGGGGAAACCAGATTAGCTGCCACCCTGGACTGTCTTATTGTCTTAAAGTGACAGGCACTAGATCCCCTGCTCGGGGATTCCTCCAGGCAGCCAGATAGAGGAGAGTCTGGGGTCTGGGGTGGTACACTGGGAGAGGTTGGCTAGCTCTCCAAAAGAGGATCTTTAGCTGTACAGACTTGTAAATAGTTTCAGGAAGTTTGTCCTCAGTTCCATTGGGCATCCCGTACACCCCTCATCCCATCCAAGTTTTATTACCCCCTAATAAAACATCAGAACAAGCTCAAGGACTGGTCGCTGTCTCCTTGATGCAAGTCTGAATGGAAAATGCGTTTTGCCTGGCTGTGCAGGACTATAGGGGGACCCAAAATCTTTGCAACTCCTAAGGGGGTAGTGCTACATAATTATTATATTATTATTCAGGATTTATATAGCGTCAACAGTTTGCTCAGCGCTT